ACCGAGATCAAAGGAATCAAAGTCACATTTTCTTTATTCTCTTCTTTACAATTTTTCCAACAAACAATGGCGTATTTTTTTGTTGACTAATTATTTATAGGATTTTGAGTTGATATTTAGCGATCCATAATTTGAGATACATGGTATATATATGAGGGTTTTTTGTTTGGATTATTTCGCTCAATGAACTCATCTCGTGTTGTGGATTTCTAAATCTTAACTCCTCTTAGTTCAGGATATATGATTTATATATTTATATATGTTACAATTTGTATATTTTTTATATACACCTAACTCATTCCCCCGGGGGACGGTGAAGATATTCTCGCTAGCGCTTTGACACTCGTTGTTTTTATCTTTTTCAGGCAGCGAGTCAGGGGTTCGAAAAACCGCAGGTTGACGGGGACTGACTAAAGATTTCCGTCATATTTAGATAGTTAGTTAGTGCTCCACAGCAGTCTATTATATTTTGTTTTAACTCTTTTAGATGTGTTTCATTTTGGAGGCTGAGCACCTATGTACTTTTCAATTGACTCTTATGTATTATAAATTCGATGTTCTTATTCCAGTTTATCAGATATTTTTTCTGATGGAACATATTGATAGTGTTGGATGTCTTTTATCTACATTGTGTTCCGTATATTTTCATCTTTGTTGTATCTGCTTGTACCCTCACTATTATATACTTTGTTTCTACTAGAGTGATAATAATTGTGACAGTGAAACATGTTTATGCACAGTGGAGAGTGCATGACAGGTTTGACATCTTTGGGTTCACCTTAGACTGTAGCCATGTGTGAAACCAGGAGCGTCACACCTGAGCCTTAGACTCCCAAGAACTGAAGGGTCAAAAGTCAACATGTCGATATAGTATAGAAGAAGATAAAAGCAAAAAAAGAAAAAAAATGTTCTGGTCAGAACAATCCAGATTTCTCAAAAAGAACAATAAATTTGACAAAGCTCATAAACAAAGTAACAATAGTTACAATCAATTGCTGGATTTGATGACCTAAAGGAAGAAGAGTAAGAAATTTCTAAACAGAGTAGCAAGATAGCGAATTGAAAATCAGTAAACAGTTACCTGGTCTGATAAAATCAGAAAGGCCGAAATCAATAATCTTCATTGGAGCATTTTCATCTTTGGTGGTAAAGAGAAAATTCTGTTGAAATTTTTAAGGCATGGAATATCAGCAGCAAAGATAGATAATAATACTTTTAAGCGAGAAGGGGGTGAGGGGGTCTACCAAATATACTAGAAGCAGTAACATGAAGGAAAAACATAAAAACATATAACAAAATGTAGTCCAGAAGCACACCTCTGGTTTTAAATCACGATGTATAACACCTTGAAGGTGACAAAAGGCTACAACACTCAGTATTTGCACAATAATTACTTTTGCATCACCTTCCTTGTACCTTCCACCTCTTTAACAAAGAAAACAGATATAATTATTTAACATCTCAGTAAAAGAACTTGATGAATGGTGCTTAGAATCCAGAAGTTTGCAATACCTGGATAATATTCTATCTAGTAATTCTCCACCTTCACACAATCTGAAAAAAGGAAAAAGTAAGACAAGATGTAGAAAGTTTCTGACATTTGGAAGTCTTTAAATGAATATCCTATTGCAAGTTGCCTAAGCCAGATTACAGTAAGTAATGTGATCAAAACTGAGTGTTGTAAAACAGCTTAAATG